AAGCAATTTTCATATAAATTGTATTCCCCAATTTATATTACCGAGAAGTGGCTAAAATGTAAACTTTTTTCCTTAATTTCTAATAAGCACATGGCCATTGACATCATCTATATGGAAAGTGCTTTGAAGCTGAGAGTATTTGACAAACATGGGGGCCACTGTTTCCCCGGCTCCTGACTTGGTCTTTTGTGGATGACAAAATAAATATAACTGACTTACCAACAGAATTATTCAACTGGATGGTAAATCCAAATGTTATATATAAAAGACTTTTAAACAACTCTGTCCTATAATTCCTTTAGAGAAACTCAATTGTATGCCTGCCTGCCATTGAGGGACGTAGGTCACACACATCCATAACTCTGTAACCACGGACTCAGTGTTTTCAAGATATTTTGGGTTCAAAATCTTTGTAGCTAGAATTGGAAATGTGTAGGCAGCACCACGGTGGAGTTCAACATGCAGGTTTCTTCCTACCATTCTTTCTGCAGCCCTATTTAAATCACCAAGATGATGTTCAGATAGGGTTCAGATCTCAGCCCTGCCATTTGATGCTGGGCTTCAGAACTCTTCTATTCCATTCTGAATTCCACTGTGTCCAGGTAGAACTTATTACAAGGGACTGAATTGTCCGGAACTGTCAGTGTAAATATCAATAGACTTGCCAGTAAAATTAGTTTCCCACTTAAGGGGATTGACATATTCTCGTGTAAAATTCTGAGAATAAGAAGTGTTGCCTTTGCTTTATTGTTTAGTTTTTATCCTTTCTAGTGCTTTTCACTTACGTTTGTTGTCACCTGCTCCCTTCCCCCGCCCCATCACTAGATTCCAGGGCCTCTGGTATCCTGGGCACCGGCGCTTGTCCTCTATCTGTGTCTCTGCGTCGAAAAGCTCTGAACCTCAGCCACATGGGACAAGCCTGCCCTTGCTGATAATTAAGTCATTCAATTAACTAGTGTGGTGGATTAGTGAAAGGTTAGTTCTTTCATTTCTTCATCCATGGTACTACCTTTTTTCTTTCTTTTTTTTGTTTAACAAATACAATTTTTTATTTCGATTTTCTTATTTTAAAAAGAATCTCTTTACTTCCACTAAAAAGCTCTTAGGCTTTGTGCCTCTCCCACTAGGACTTTCTGGCTTGGAGGACGTGTTTCTGTCTGTGGGCTGTAGTGTAGGGAGCGTTCTAGCAGATGGCTTCCTAAGAGCACTAGGGGAGTAGTGTTCTCCATTTCACCAGGTCCGCAGTTCCTCGCTCGCTTACATGTAGGATGAGAATACCTGATTGGCTTTGATGTGTGTATGTGTGCCAGAAAACAATTAGCTGGTGATTTAGGTTTAACTGGCACTGTCCACTGAATCAACTCCTTCTCTCAATGTCCTATGTTGACCTCTAAACTGCTGTGGCTTCTAACGTCAGCTAGGAATAGGTCAAAATACCCCCAGAACTAAAACCTCAAAGTTGTGACAGCAAAATGAAAATTTAAAGGAAAATTATAATGTATTTCTGATTTATCTTACCTAGTTCTTAATCCTGTTCGTAGGCCAATTCATTTAGGCTGTGTGAGATCAGAAAGTGAGATTACTCATTGGCGTTTAAATTGCTAGAATATTGTTATATCTATGGTAATCACTCCAACCGCCCCCCAGATAGGCAGATTGGACATTGTATTCATTGTCCAGTTGAAGAAACTTCAGCTCATAAATGACACATCCAAGCTACCAGAGCCAGTGGTGAGCTAATTGAAGCTCCACACCACCTGTACACTAATAGTGTGTCTCTCCATTATCTGGTAGTGCCGACCACTGGTAATCTTGTGGGAAGACTTCTAAGAAGTTGTTCTTGGCCTGAGTTACACCTCACTGAGTATATAAAAAAACAAGGTCAAAACAGTTTATTCAAATTGTCCCTTGTAAATACATCACATGCCATGAACAAGTATCACGTTTCTGGGACCAAGAAGATTTTAAGATTCTTCTGTTTTTGTTCTATAATTCTGGCAGGTGAGTGACTTACATTTTGATATATATATAAGTATCAAAATTTTAGGAGAGCTTAGTATAAAATAAATCTGTTAAATTAATGACTTAATATTTAGTGTTGAGTATATCTTGTACTTGATGAATTGCCAAAGAACTTTAAGGATTTCCTATTTATTACTAATAACAGTTAAGCATTATTAGTATAAGCACTACGTGTATGTGGAAAATATACAGTTTATGTGGTATATTTACATAAATTAACAGCTAACATATTTAGAGCTCCCATGTTCCAGGAACTGATAAAAATATCTTTCTGTGTATTACGTGATTTAACCTCACAAGAAACCCATGAGATGGAATTTGAACTTAGATTCAGGAGTCATTTCTTTAATCCTGATATCTGCATGTTATCTATTACTAGATACTCTAGATTAGAATCACTAATAAAAATTTAAAATTATAAGCTACATTTGTGACAAGGCGACATATGTTGCTGTTACTGCTATGGTTTGTTGCTTATTTTTATAGTCAAAGAAAATGTTAACATTTTAAATAGGACTAGTGAAAATTGATTTACTTTTGGTCTATCAAAACTCCCCTCTCTGTAATTGGATGTTCAGGTTACTAAGTCTAGTTCTTGCTACGACAGTTTCCTGCCCCATTTTCCTTTATGCTATTGACTTAATGGAGAAATGAGATTATGATTTTTTTCTTTTTTTAAAAAGAAAATCTCACATTCTTGTTTTACTGATTAGTTCTTTGGGGAATTCGATTTAAATATTCCTCTGCCCCTATATTTCCTATATTTCTTAGGTTATTGGGTCTAGAAAACTGCTTAAAGGTATACAAATAATATTCAATAGGTAGTACTATGAACTTCCAATTGTAGCACATGGAAAGAACAAACCAGCGCTGTACTTATCAACTTTGCATGCACCAGGCATTGCAAAATTTTTATGTCACACTGGACCAACGTGATGGGACTATGCATCCACTGGGCTTGTTTGCCAAAGGAAAACTATTGTTCAGAGAAGCAGAATTATATGCCTACTGAGGTCACTGTAAAGGCAGTTTGAAAAGTAACTCTACTGAGCTTGAAATTGGAAGTGTAGGACCAAGGTCACCTGCTATGTCATGAAGTTGTAACAAATACAGTTAAATGAAGCAAAACAAAACAAACTATAGCAAGCCAGTATCACTTGTTTTCTCACTTTCCATAATGCCCGTATTGATCAGGGGGATGTTGTGGTGTCAATCTGACTTTTGCTTTATAAAATTCTCTGACAACTTCCACCTTACTGTCATCAATGATCTTACATGGAATCATGTATAGATTATTTAAGAGAAGCTTCAAAGCGGGAATTTTCGAATTCTATAATTTCTTATATATTAATTACATAAAATTCTGTTTTAGGAACAGTCGTATCAACTATTTGGTAACCCACTAATAGAATTCACATAAGAAGAGGATAAATGTGTGGTTCTTTTCACGTCAGTTGTCAATTTTGAGTGCAATGAATTTTTTCCCCTATCAACTTTCTATCTGTCTTTCTATCTATTTAGCCAATCACCAGTCTTTTCTGGTTTCAAGTTATCTCATTTTGTGGCATTAGCATCTTTTAAAATGGATGCCAGTGGTGTGTGATGCTTTCTGCTGGATATCTTATGTCCTAGACTCCTCTTCTGCATCCATTAGCTTAGATGTAGCATCCACCATTTTCCCCAGAAGTCCTTTTTCTTTTTCACGAGGATTGGTTCTGGGTTCCAAAAGAAGCCATTGCCATTTAGGCTTTTATTGCTTCTGTCTTTTTCAATAGAGCTAGGAAATATTCAGGCTAATAAAGGATAATGATCACTCATGATGTCTTGCTAAGACTTCAGAATTAAATTAAGATTTCAGGGGTTTTAATTTTTTAAAATGTTATGCCTGTATGTCTTTTCTCTGATGCCAAAATATTGTTTCTTAAGAGTATTGCCATAATTAATTATTTTGTGCTACAATATATTTATCATTGTTTAAAAATGAAAATACCAATATTACGAATAACCATAAAACCAATGGATTTAGGTCAGGGTTTCTTTTTTATCTACCTTCTGAATATAGGCATTACAGATATACTTGGTTTAAAGTCAACATTACACAAACACTTGGTGTAAAGTCACGTAAAGTAATTCCTTTATTATGTGTTAGTATGCAATTAGCATAGTAGATAAGTGCAATCATTTTGATATGTGTTCAACTTATAACAATAGATACTTTTGTGTTTCTTTTAAAAATAGTTTTTCTTGTAATTAGGTAAAACTATTTACATGGTTGCAAGGTAAAAGTATACCTATAACAAGACACAACGGAATGCTGGTTTCTCTTTAATGATGGATACATACCCATTTTAATTCATTTTTTATCTTTCTGTTGTTTTATTTGAAATAATAAATAAATATAATTTCATATAACCCCTTCCTTTTAGACTAGGTATTAGTTAATAAAATCTGCATCTTATGTTTTTTTACTTACTGTATCATGAGATATATCTATTAGTACATAGATTTATTTATTATTTGGAGGTAACATGTTTAGACAGTTCTGGACTCTCACGATTTGAGGCTTGAAAGCTGATAGTCACTATTTGAGAAGATGTCATGAACAGAAAATAAATAATTTCACTTTTATAGAATCCATTTGATAACATTTAGCAAATGCTAAGGAGAAGCAATGTCTAAGACTGTTTGGGCAATCAAGAATGGGCATACTGAGGACTTGTGTGGGCAAATATTAGTACAGACTTTCAAAGGGACAGGTCTTTGCTCTCTTAGCTAGCTTAACAGGTTTATGGTAGTTTTCGGTATCATTTATAATCTCAGCAGTTCAAAGGCACTTTTAGAAATCTGGAAAAGGGTCTTAATTATTCAAAAGTGGCTATCTTTTCACTTACCCCTCCTTTTTTTTTCTGTGTTCCGTTCTAGGCCCAAGTGTGAGCTCGAATTTGTGCTCAGTTCCTCTCCCCCCTCACCTTCGTCAGGACTGTCACCCTGATCCTGGAGCTTCTGAAGTTAGCTGTCTGTCTAGGAATTGCTGTTGGTCTCCATTTAAAACCCCAGGCATCCCCTGGTGTTTTGAAAAAATGGATTCCTGTTCTAAAGTACCTGTCTCCCAGCGAATTGACTGTTATCCAGAGGCAGGGGCCAACGAAGCTTCCTGTGAAACCCGTGGGTGCCACTGGTGCCCTACTAACAATGCCACTGCCCCATTTTGCTTCTATAACTCCAAAGAAGAAGCTGAGTGTGTCTCAAGATTTCCTGTTAATAAGCGCATCGATTGCCATCCTCAACCTGGGGCGTCTCAGAAAACCTGTGAAGCTAAAGGCTGTTTCTGGTGTTCTACAAGTCTCGCCAATATACCCTGGTGTTTTTACCCAGCAGATGGTCCATATGGCTACACTTCAAATGGCCAAGTTTACAAGACCGCTAAAGGATGGAGGTACATATTTCTTAGGGTTTTGGGTGGGCAATTTTACTGCCTAGAGTTTCTGATTCGGTCCCATGGTTTGACTTGTTGCACATGTCACCTCAGAACTAACATTCAACTGTTATTTGCTCTATCCTGAAATCTCTGAGTCTTCATGGGGAATTAAAACCTAGAGTACATGTTTTTGGGTGTTTTTTTTTTTTGTGCTTCCCAATCATTTGGATTTTCTCTATCACTGTCTAGATCCACCTGTTGAAGAGGAGGTCACACCTCTATTTCTTCTTGCTCAGTTTCACGGGTCCTGGGGAATAGCAGAAATGGTCACTCTTTTGAGTTACTTAATACCATTGAGTCCATAGTGACTCATAGCGAGGCCCTGTGGGTTTCTGGGACTGTAACTGTTTATGCCAGTAGAAAGTCCAGTCTTTCTCCCTCAGAGCTGCTGGTGGTTTCAAACTGCAGACCATGGGGCTCGCAGGCCATTGTATAACCACTATACCCCCAGGACTCCTCTTATTAGGACTCCTCTTATTTTGAGTGGTAGGGCGATCTATTGCAAACAAGCTTGGTGAACGTGAGAACCTTATCCTTTATGTTGTCATGTGCATCTTTGAGAACTATCCGTTCCCTTCTTTTGTTGTCTCTGTTTTGTGAAGTCTGACTCACCCTGGTGCTGTCCAGGAGATTCCAACTCATACACCTCCTGGAGGAAGAGTGGCAGTTCCCCCCAGGGGAGGGTGCACAGGGCTGTTGGTGTCTTCCTCTTGGGAAGAAGTCGGTGTGTTCTAATGGACAACATTTGGGTTAGCAACTAGTGCTTCACTACTGTTACCAGAGCTGGTTTGGAAGTATGGCACAGCCAGGAATTTTTGGTGAAATGAGATGAAAACATAGACCGAAAAATTCCTCTTAACAGCAACTATTTCATGATGACATCACAAATCAAGTTTGAAGCCGACCGAAATATTTATTCTAATTAATAAGTACCAAAATAACACAAATGCTTAACTTTCATAAGGAAAAAAAGGGAAGGAAAAAGGAGTAGTCATTTTCCTTTAAGTTTTCAAGGAAAAAGTAGAAGTAATTGGTAAAATCTCTCTTAAAAACTGTCCATGTGGCAACTTTTGGACACTACATTCTTGGTTTGGAAAAAAAATAATGGATAACTTTCTGAGTTATATATGTAAAGAGTAGAATTCTAGTATTTACCGAGTTGGAGCTCAGCAGACTGTTATGAAAATTGACTGCCTAAATTTTCGTTTGCAATCTCTGAGGTATTTTCACTTTGAACTGCAAGATCAGGACTTGAAAACTATGTCATAATTTGTTTTTCACTTACATTTCTTAGCAGGCAATAAGATAAAGTGTAATGATGATCCTTCAAAGAATGGACTTGGAGCTCTGAGCTCTTTAATGAGAAAGACACAAAAATGAAAAATGAAAAAGATTGTAGATAGAACAGCCTGGGCAGAGGAGAGGTCTAGTCGAAGAGAGCGTGGTTGATAGCAGGGTAGTCAGAAGCTGAAGGACTTGCAAACTGAAAGAAAATAATAACGAATGTCATTGCATTTTATTTTCTATGGTACTGGATTTTGAAATGGTCCACATTGAGGAAACCAACCAGCTTTCAGGGCTCAATAAATGGAACTTGATTGAGCTCACTATCTTATTTTCTGTTTTCTGTCATTCTAAATTTGCCCTTCACTTAAATTTTTACAGATTAAAGCATAGGTAATTTGGGGAACTGTATCTTTTTAATGTTAACAGTTTCATTGACATACAAATCACATGTCATATAATTAAATGGTTTACATATATTCTAAAAGAGTTGTGCGATCATCACCACAATCAATTTTAGAACATTTTCTTCTTTCTTGTAATTATTAGCTCTCCATTTCCCCCAATCTACCCTACAATGGCCCTAAGAAACTATTAATCTAGTTACTCTCTCTATAGATTTACCTACCCTGGATTTCATATAAAGAAAACCATGAAGAACCAAACCCAACAACAATAAAAAAAAAACAACAGAGAAAATCCTCAAATAATAATAAAACTTCAAATGGGTCAAAAGGGAAAACAAAGGATAAGGTGTTACATTTTAATACATCAGTTTAGTTTATTTTCCAATGCACTGTTTTTGATAACAAGGCTACTCACCTCTATGGTCAATGGTCAAAGGTGATTCACTGGAGGCATCATCCAAGTAGAGACCCTGAGAATGGATGTTGGGGTTTCACTATCATTCATTGCTTTCTGTAAACTGGGTGTTCATAATTTAACCTCTAAAATGATTCTCTCCTCTGGCCTTCATTTTGTTTTGTTTTGTTTTACAATTATTACAATCCTTGTATCATCGCACAGGTGGTGTGCTTTTTCCATGTGGCCTTATCTGATACCTCACTTACATGGCTGCTTGTTTTAAGACAAGTCTTTAAGACCCCCCAATGCTATTCTTTCTTATATCAGCACACCATCTGATTTCTTCACCACACTTTGCTATTGCACCCACATCTCTTCATGCAGGCAGTATCAAGTAGGGCCACATTACAAGAAATGATTGTTTTTAGAGTAAGCCGCTGATTAAATATTAACTGAAAATCCACTCACAAATCTATGGTACTGTATATCTGTGTCACTAATCCTCTTTAGAGACATCATTATCATTTTATGGTGGAACATTAGAAATAATTCCCATAGGGTATATGGTAATTCTTTTGATAGTATCATTAATTTAGTCAATGGTATAGAATTTCAAATACTGTTCAATAAAGAGAAGCCTACATGTAGAGGACAGTTTTTAGACTAAAATACATGGATTCTTGACTTGAGCAGATTAAAGTTTTAAGTGACGGGACACTATGTATGCAAACAGTGAGGATTAGCAATAGGGCAAAACTTTTAATAATACTCTTTCACAAAAGCAGATCGATGCCTGCTAGATTAAGACATGTCATAGAAAAGTAAAGAGAGCATAAAAATAGCAAATATATGCTAGTCTTGAGCCATCATTCCCTGGGCATTTTCAAAGTAAGAAATATGAACCAAAATTCAATTACTTCTAAATCCATAACCTTGGGATAGCAATTATCTGTTTCTTCTCATACTGTGCCATTTCCACCTAAAGTCTAAGGAAGTATTTCTGTTCCTTTAAACTGTTAAAAGTTTGTTTAAGGTAAAGTCCAGTTTACTTAGTGGGGTTTTCAAGTCAGATTGTTTTGTTGTTGTCTATGAAGGAATTCGTGTGACTTGAAAAAACAGAGTTTAAGTCTCGCTTGTCTATACCTCTTGGCCTGGGTCACTAAAGGCGAGATTGAAACTAGGTCAAAAGTTCCCCAATTAGGAATGTAATACCAGGTGTATTCTCCCCTCAGGGGTCTATCTGAGTAATGATAAGTGTCCCCCCACCCCCCATGGCAGGTTACTCTTTCTGGTTTATGTACTGACAGAAGCGAAATAACCTCATCTGAGACAGACATTTGCCCCCACCCCAACTTCTGGACTTGAATTTTCATTAAGGTTCACTAAGCATTCTTGTAGGTGACAGGAGAGTCTGTTAGTTAGGATGGAACAATGCTATATGGCAGGAATGGATTGATCTTCTCCCTTCCGTCCAACATGAAAAACTGACCTCAGCTGAGGTGAGGCCTCTGTCAAAGTTGCTTTTAAGATGTACACAGAAGGGGGTGTTATATGGGTCATGAGTGCTAACTTCTAAATCTAGAAGTAACTTCTAGAGCATTACATGACCCCAGATCAGATACCTGTCTTCGTCTTGATGTTTATCCTTATAATAGTTGTCTCATACAATATTTGTCCTTTTGTGATTGACTAACGTTGATCAGTCTGATTGGTTTCCAAGACTATGCATGGACTCAGGTGCCTCATGGTTTCATCATTATTTTGGGGGTGGGGGGGGGGGTGGAAGGAGGAATGCATGGTGTTCTACTGTGTGCATGTACCAGAGTTTATTTATCCTTTCTTCTACTGAAGGGCATTTGGTGTATTTCTATCTTCATGGTATTGTGAACTGTGCTGCTTTGAACATGGAAGAGCGTATGTCTGTTCGTGATGTACCTCTTGCTAGTTTGGGGTATATATCCCAAAGCAAAGGTTTGCCAGATTGGGTGATATTTTTATTCCCCACTATTTTAGGTAGTGTCATATTTTTTTTCACAATGGTTGTACATATTTACAAGCCCACCAGCATGCTGTAAGAGTTTCGCTCTCTTTGCACCCTCTCCAGCATTTTTTTTCTGGGGGGCTATTTTTCTGGTTATAGGTTAATATTTTATGAGTGTTTCGATTTTCATCTCCTAGATTACTATCATGTGCATTATTTCATGTGTTTATTATCCTATTATGTGTCATTTTGGGTGAATTATTTGACCATGTCTTTTTCCCACTTTTAAACTGGGATTTTTTTCCCAATTAAGGTGTTGCAGAGTTCTATAAATTTTAGTGAGAATTTTTCTGAATACAAATTAAAATCCGAAAATAAAATAAAAAGGGTTCGGTCCAAGTAAGAGCAGTGAACTATAAAATTAAATAACAAGAAAGTAAGAATTAGATAAAGTAAATCATAACCAAATAAATTTTACTTGAGACAAAAATTATATGAAAGGAAGGGTTGCCTGAGAAGTAGAAGGACACTTGGTAATTCGCTAAGATTTCTAATGCCAATATCTTCACAGTCTGGGCCGATTTATGAGTGCCTACGCCTGCATTCAAGGAGTTCTGGTTTTATAGTGGGCTATCCACTGAGCTGTTAACCACAAGGTCTGTGGTTTGAACCCACCTGTCACTTCAAGGGAGAAAGATGAAGCTATATCTGTAATGATTTAAAGTCTTGGGAATCCACAGAAATTGTTCTACCCTTCCCTATGGTGCTTTGCTTGCTATTTTGATGCTGGAACGACGACTTGCAGTATTTCAAATACTAGCAGGGCCACCTCTGGTGAGCAGGTTTCAGCATGGTTTTCCATCTAAGCACAGACTAGGAAAGATTGGCTGCTGGAAACCTTCTGAATGGTAGCAGACCATTGTCAGCTATAGTGCTGGCCGATGAGCCCCCAGAGTGTAAGGGGAAGAGCTGGCCCCTCAAAAGTGAGTCCGGTATAATGACATGAATGGGGTAAGACTCTGAGGACTTTCCTTTGTTAATGAGGCATTACTTACACCAAGAAGGGACAACCATTCATAATCAGGACATCAAATGTACAAAGTATGAATCTATAAACATTGGAAAGTTTTTAAAAATGGAACAAATAAAGATCAGTGTGCTAGACATTGGAGAGCCGAGATGGAAGGGAATTGATCATTTGGAGTTGGAAGTCATGCAGCTTACTGTGTTGAGGATGACAAATTGATGATGCACTCATTATCAAAAATAACATTTGAGGATCTATCTTGACGTCCCATGCTGCCTGTGATAGGATAATATGTATAAGTCTGCAAGGCAATCCAGTTAATACAACTATTTTTCAAAGTTATACCTCAACTACTACATCTAGTGATGAAGAATTTGCAGAACTCTACCAACTGCTTCAACCTGAAATTGATCAAACACGCAATCAAGATGCAATGACAATTGCCCTTGATTAGAATGACAGAGTTGGAAACAAAAGGAGAGATTAGTAATTAAAAAATATGTTCTTGATGATAGAAAGGAAGCTGAATATCATATGCTAGAATTTTAGAAAACTGATGATTTTTTTCTTGCAAACACCTTCCCTCTGCCCCGCCCCCCAATAACATAAATGTGACTATACTCCTGGATATTTCCAGATAAAATATGCAGGAATCAAATTCACTATATCAGTGAGATGAGACTCTGCAGAAGCTCAATATTTTCAAACAAAACATGACCAGGTGCCACCTTTGGAACAGACAATCAATTGCTCATGTGCAAGCTTCAATTATAATATATATATATATATATCCCACCTGGAATCTGAGAACAACTCAAGAGCATATTTGACACATTGAACACTAATGACAGAAGGCCTGCAAGTTGTGTGATGGCATCTAGAACATCATACGTGAAGAAAAAGCAAAAGGTCATTAAAAAAAAGAAAGAATTAAAGTGAATGTCATAAGAGAATGGAAACTTGCTACTCAATATAGCAAATACAGCTACTTCCTAAAACAAATGGAAGAAATGCTGTAAAAGAGCTGAATAGAAATTTTTTCCAAGGGAAATTTCTAAAGACAAAAGTAGAACATTGTAATTAAATGTGCAAAGACCTAGAATTAGCCAAAGAACACACTCAAAATATCACAAGCTGAAGCAATTGAAGAAAAACAGTCAGACCTTGCCTTGAAACACTGAAGGATTCCATGTCAAAATATTGACGGATACAGGAAGCATAAAAAGATGGGAGGAATGTACAGTGTCACTGTATAAAAAATAACTTGTCAATGTTCAACCATTTCAAGAGGAAGCATATGATCAAGAATCAGTGGTAATGAAGGTAGAAATCCAAGCTGGACTGAAAGCATTAGCCAAAAATAAAGCTTGAGGAATTGATGGAATACCATCTGAAATGTTTCAATACACACGAAGCACTGGAAGCACTCATTTGTCTATACCAGGAAAATTGAAAAACTGTTAGTTACCTGGCTAGCAAAGAGGTGACACAATAAAATGCAGAAATTATAGAACAATAAAGTTAGTGTCATATGCAAGTAAAATATTGCCAAATATCATTCAACAATGGTTTCAGCAGTACACCAACCAGGAGCTGCCAAAAATTCAATCCAAATTCAGAAGAGAGCATGTGTGAGGGGTATATATAATTGCTGATGTCAGGTGGATCTTGGCTAAAAGCAAAGAATACTGAAAATATGTTTACTTGTGTTTTACTGACTATGCAAAGCTACTCAACTCTATGAATCATAACAATTTATGAATAGCATTGAGAATAGGGGTTCCAGACTACTTTATTCTGTTCATCCAGAACCTGTACATGGACAAGAGGCTGACATTTGAACAAAACAATAGTGCAGGGTTTAAAACCAGGTAAAGTTTGCATTAGGGTTGTAGCCCCTCGCCATACTTATTCATTCTTTTTTTTTAAGTAAATTAAAAAAATTTATTTTATTGGGGGCTCATACAATTCTTATCACAATCCATCCATCCATCCATTGTGTCAAGCACATATGTACATTTTTGCCCTACTTATTCATTCTTTATGCTGAGTGAATTATCCACGAAACTGGGTTATATGAAGAAGAATACAACATCAGGATCTGAAGAAAGCTTATTAGCATCTTTGGATATAGGACTTGAATCACTTGCTGATGAAAATCAAAGTCTGAAACCCTTAAAATGGATTGCAAGTCAATGTAGAGAATCCAAATCCTCACAACTGGACCAATGGACAATGTAATGATAAATGGAGAAAATATTGAGGTTGTCAAGGATTTAATTTAGTTTGGATGTACAATCAATGTTCATGAAACAGCAGTTAGAAACCAATGTATTTCACTGGGAAAATCTGCTGCAAAATACCTCTTTAGGATTAAAGAGCAAAAATGTCCCTTTGAGGATCAAGGTGTGCCTGATCCAAGCCATGGTGTTTCTTTGGTCTTGTATGCATGTTAATGATGTTGGATGATAGTGATGATGAAAAAGGAAGAGTACAGAAGAATTGATGCATTTGAATTATGATGGTGGTGGTGAGGAATGTTGAGAGTACTGTAGACTACCAGAAGAAAAATGAAATCTCTCTTGGAAGTTGTACAACCAGAATGCTCCTTAGAAGTGAGGTTGGCAAGACTGTCTCAGGTACTTTGAACATATTATCAAGAGGTATCAATCACAGGACAAGGACATCATACTTGGTAGAGTAGAATTTCAGTGAAAATGAGGGAGACTTTCTGAGATGGACTGACATGATAGTAGCTGCAACAATGGGCTCAAACAACAATTGTGAGCATGCACAGTGTTTCGTTCTGTTGTGCCTGAGATTGCTTTGAGTGGGAGGCAACGTGATGACCCCTAACAATAGCCATGCACTACGGTAGATCTTAGAGATTTCATTAAATCTTAATGACCATCAAATCATTTCAGACATTTCTTCATATTTGAGTGTTTTCTTTGTGAATCAGGCTTTTGAAATATAGAGCGAATATCGTAGAGCAAAACAGTGCTTTAAGTAGGAGTTTTTTTCTCCACTCCCAAATCCACTGCCATCAAATTGTTTACACCTCATAGCAGTTCTCTATGGGGTTTTCTTCTTTTTTTTTTCTTTTTATTATTATTTTTTTAAATCATTTTATTAGGGGCTCATACAACTCTTATCACAATCCATACACACATCAATTGTGTAAAGCACATTTGTACATTCATTGCCCTCATCATTCTCAAAACATTTCCTCTCCACTTAAGCCCCCGGCATTAGGTCCTCGTTTTTGGGTTTGTAAATCTTTATGAATGCAAACAGCCTCATCTCTTCTTTAGAGTACCTGGTGGATTTGAACCACCAACTGTGTGTTTACCAAGAAATGCTTATCTGATAGCCCTACCAGGGCTCCTTTAAACCAAATCTAGGGCCCTTGAGTCAGAGCATTTAAAAAAAAAAGTTGCTTTAGGAATTCACCTTAGTGATAGTGGAGGGGAAAGGCCTCTTTCCCTGAACCCAATACTGGAAGACACAGAGTGGTGGTGGTGGTGGTGATGATGATGATGTTGAATGGGATGTCTAGCAGCTACAAAGTTTGTAGTAGGTTCTGAAAATTGTGCAAGCTGAGTAGGGAGGACAGAACTGGCAAAGGGAGGGCTGTGTCTGGGAGTTCAGTGCTTGTCCATTGATTATTAACATAGTTTTCAAAAGTAAAAATTATACCACTTCAATTGAACATGACTAGTGGAAAACCCTGAGCCGGTTATTATTCCATTCTACTATGGATAAGATTGTATCACTATTAATTCAAATGACATGTTTGGGGTCATTATTTTTACTATTGCAGTTTTCTTATTATACTTATTATACTGAGAAAGAAACAATTATTTGTCTTAGTGCTGTACATTGTGCTTAAAATCTAGTGCTTTATACTTCTGCCGTTAATAAGACAATACTCATCTTAATTTTCTCCTCCCTGTTAAAAGTGAATTATCTGTCCCTGGTTTATCAACTTTTTTCAACAGTGTGCTCTTTTTAGTTTTAATAAATCATTTTATTGGGGACTCATACAGCTCTTATCACAATTCATACATCCATTGTGTCAAGCACATTTGTACATATGGTGCCACCATCATTTTCCAAATATTTTCTTTCTGTTTGATCCCTTGTCAACATTCTTTATACTAAGGAAATCCACTTCTTTGTGTGTGAAAATAAGTATGTTTCAATTAGGCTAATCACATTTGTTTATGTTATAGGATAATATTAAACAAACGTGACACTATATCATTGTTTGGAGATGATATTTCCCCACTTGCAATGGATATAGAATACCATACCAAGGAGAGGATCCGATTTAAGGTGGGTTTAGTTTTCATTAATAGAGTGTTTCTAAATGGAAGATGTTAAATGTCTTAACATGATGTAATTAGGAACCTCATATTGTCTTGTTATCGAAGTAACTATAATTTTCCCATTTCCCTCATTGGTAACATCAGAACTAGATCAATTTGTCTTTCTAATAAATAAAATTTTTCTCTTCTAATTTGTTTTAGATATTTGATCCCATTAAAAAGCGTTTTGAAGTTCCACTCAATATTGATTCTCCTCCACATCCGGCTGATGACCCCAACTATGCCGTTGAATTTCTAAATAATCCATTTTTTCAATTTAGAATAATAAGAAAAAAAACAGGAACAATACTGTAAGTACTCTTCAAAATCATACATTTCTAAATTTTGTCCTTAGATAGGACACACACTTGAAGAAGTGTTGATGGTTATGATGGCTAACAAGCCTAGAATACTAAAAATATGTAATTTGGCTTAATATTATATGTAGCATAGAAAACCTTACTTAATATTCTTTTAAACTGTGCATGCAAAAAATTCGAGTATAAGAATAGTTACTATTCAATTTTAAAATCCCATTTTGACTATTCAATTTTAAAATCCCATTTTTCCTTTCAAAATTTCTCATTTAACTGAACTGGTACATACAGTATGTTCAATTAGCATCAGTTACTTTTTTCACTGCTATTACTATTAATCAATGGTGTTATTTTTGAGCATTGTGATAATTAAAATGCATACTTAATAATCCAGTGCATATTGATTATTTTATTAGTTTAGGCCAATAGTCATTGCTATGCAAAGAATATATAGTGCTAACTATGGATTTCAAAATCTTATTTAGTTGGTGCCATGAAAATTGAAAACCACAACCATGTTTGTATATATGTATGTGTGTGTGTGTGTATTATGACCATCTAGTTTCTTTCAATATATGACCTTGGTTTGTAAGACAATTATGCCTATATAAAGAGTAATGATATTCTTGACCCAATAACCAGGATGATCCAACTGGTTCTAATACAGTCAGTACCTTGGTTTTCAATGTTATTATAAGCTACGTGGTGGCCATCTATCTCTATTTTATGAAACCACACTGAATTCTTAACTTTGATGGACTGAACACAGACAGAAATTCTTTGTAGTGTCTGCCATCAAGAAGGAGAGTTTCTTTCTCTATTCCTTAAATCTGGGCCAGCCCTTCGATAGCCTTTGACCAATGCAAGGAAAGTGACATTTAACTTTATGAGTTCTGATACCTGACCTCTGAAGCTTGCTGTGTCCTCTCTTACTCTCAAGAGCAAAGTTTTGTTAGGCTGTGTTTTCCAGGGAAACAAAACTAGTGACTTTCATATATGTAAAGGAGGAAATTTAGATAAAGAAAGTGGTCCACACAGCTGCAGAGTGGCAAGCCTGGTCTGACTCAAGTCCATGGGTAAGATGCTAAACTACAAGCCCTTCAAGATACACATGGCTTTTGGTCAGTGAGCTAGGCAACAGGAGGATTAATGAGGAGACGGACTGGTAGAGGCCAAGTTAAATGAATCCAAGGTACATTGCAAGCCATTGACAGCTCCCAGAGTTGACAGAACACATTACAGGCCACTGGATAAAGTTCCAGGAAACCAGATGCAGGATCCAGGCCAGTAGGAATAAGAGAGAGAGTGACAGCATCTATTTAGAGCTATGAAACAGGTTACATCCCTAAGCTGTGGCCTGCCCCTTACTGCTATACTACTGAGGATTCTAGCCCAGCCAAGTTGACACAAAACCTAACAATTACAGAAGTCTGCATAGAATGAAGGACCCAGTCCTGTTTCTTCCAGCCATCTCAATTGAGTTCCCAGACTTGAGAGGCTTTCTTATCATTCAACTCCCGCTAATCTGACAGAGGATTCCTTTTTGAGCACAAGGCACATCTGCCCTTCTTATTCCTGTACAAAGGAGGTTCACAAAGCTCATTTGAACAATATATTATCTCTTCATTTTAGTTTTCCATGAACCTTTTTGTATTTGTAAGGTCAGAATCTTTTCCCAGTTAACTACAGAATCATGAGAAATAATCCCTCATTTTTAAACCACTATGTTTTGTGGTGGCTTCCTCCACAGATGGTAAAATCTAATATAAAAATCAGTATCTAGAAACGAGGAGCTTTTACAATAGAGCATAAATTATTTATCTCTGATTTTGAGCATCAATGTGAGACAGAGGCTAGGAGAAGTGATGAGGAGTTAGTGAGGGATGTGGGTTGGTGAACAACATCATGGCTGTTCAGTCAGATGCTGTAATGGATTGAGGCTTTTGAAAATCTCAGGACAGGAAAATTATTGTTCATGTGAGGTTCGTGTAAATAATCTATAATGGATTAAAATTAACCACAATTTATCTTAAATCCTCCCACCAAGAGGTGCTGGCTAATTCTTCATCCTTGAACTCTAACTTGCTAAAATCAATAGAATGTGACAGAAGAGAGGCTGCATGCTTTCTGAGCTTCGGTCTGAAGAGGCCCTGCACATTCTACTCCTGTGACTCTGAAACACTGCAGTACCTCGTGAAGAATCCTGGGATGGAAGGCTGTGGGAAAAGAGTCATTCAGCTATCCCACCATTCTTTATGAATGGTGTAGAATCCTAGTCCATATCAACCAGGCCCAACCAAGCCACCTAGTAAGTGACGGTAGTCACAGAAGTGAGCCCACGCAATATTAGTAAAGCAATTGAGAAATTTTGAAGACTGTGAGGACTAATGTATCAATGATATCTAATTCAGTACGTTTGGGGTTAGTTTGAGTTGCATGTCCTTGGTCATAGTGGAATGTGTAAACAGAGTATGGTTTATCTGGGGTGGAAAAGGTCCAAGCATGTCTCTTACAAAGCCTGCAAGTAGTGGCATAATGTTCTCCGACATGAAGCATATATTCAGAACTAAGACATCCCAGTGGTCAAGAGTGTAGATGAACAAAGCCCATGGATTTACTTTGCCACTTGGGTTGCAGTGGGAACTAAAAGAAAAGTAACTTAAATTCTCTAAGCCTAATTTCTTGTTCTGTGAAATAGGAGTTTTTTGTAAGACTTTTATGAGATTCTACAGGTAAAGCATGTGATCTTCAAACATGGTCATGATAGCTAAAACGGAGCTCTCCACTCTGAACTACACAAGTTTGCATTTTCTTTTCTTAGCAATACTTGAAAATTACTTATGATTTTTGTTGTTTGATTTATGGGCTTATTTTCTTCAAGTAGAATCTAAATTCCTTGATAGCAGGGACTTCTGGTTTTTGTTTTGGCATCTACAATGTATAAGTGTGCTGAATAAATTGTAGCTTGAATGAAAGTTCTAAACTGATCTATAGAGAGGTCACATACGAAACGCTTTATTCCTCATCTCTTCTCTGTATTCTCTCCCTTGATAATACATAGCCTATTCTGTCACCTGAATTCTTAAAACATCTAAATTTCCATCTCAAGCTTTGACTTGAACCAATTCTAAATTTCCAGTTTCCTGAAGGACTAACCCTTTGATTTTCCCATTACTTGAACCTTCAATATTCATAACTTAATTCACACCCCTGCTCCCTAGCCAAATATCCCAGTGTTCTTTTTTCTGAGTCACATCCTGTTTAGGAGATCTGTTCTATATTTTTTCTTCTAATTTCCCCTCTCTCCTCTCCTGCCTTTGCATATCCAAGTTCTTCTCATATGTAATTCTACCTACTTCATAAGTGTTATTGGATTGTCATAAAAGCAAATAAAACAACTCTTTGTCATGGAGCTGATTCCAACTCATAGTTTCTCTGTAGGACAGAGTAGAAATGCTACGTAGGGTTTTCAAGGCTGTAAATATTTATGAGTGCAAAACAGTCTCATATTTCTTCCAAGAAGCAGCTGGTAGGTTTGAACCACCAGCCTTGTGGTTTGCAACCCAATTCCTAGCAAACAGCATGGCAATCTTAACTTCAGTAGCATCACAGTTTTACTTTTCTTGATAAGCCTATCTTTGACGCCTCGCATCATATGTTTTCCACTCTCAGTCTTGTCTTCATTCTCCATCGCCATCTTCATTTTGTTTCAGTGGCACTGGTAGATAAGCACACGATTGTCACCCAACCCCCAGCTGCTCTGAGCGAGAAAGAGGAGGCTCTCTGCTCTCCTAAAGAGCTGTGGTCTCAGCAACCCTATGCAGGGTCTCTATGAGTCAGAATCCACTGCAGGGTGGTAGGGGTCATAGTGATTAGGCAGTCAGTGTCCGATTCATCTTTGTATGCTTCACATAGCCAAGCACGTCTTGAATATTCAGTAAGGGAATACAAGTGAATACGTTTTTATTGTCCTATACATACAGAATGCAGAAGAGTGACAAGATGCATCCCTATACGGACAGGGATGCAGAAGAATAAGATACAATTGCACTGGGATTAGAGAAAATTGTAATTACTTCACTTAATCCGAGGAGAATGCGAAAGCGGTTTTAAGAAGGAGAGAGTGATCGATTCTGTCAAATGCTGCCGGGAGATTAAACCAAATGAATGCTGATAATTGAACACAGTTACAGCAACATGCAGCCTCGGAGTGTTCTGGAAAGAAGTTCCAGTCATACAGCAGAGGTATAATCCCCAGAAGAGTATTCTAGGGAGTGGAGAAATTGGGAAGATTGAGGTAAATCAATCTTATGGGCAATTTGATTTTTAAGGAAGACAGAAATATCTTCAAATGAGATCAAGAAAGGGAAGAGAAGGTTTGTTTGTTTATGATGAGAATAACAGGAGGGTGCTTGCATGACATGGAAGATGGTGAGAAGAGGCAAAGTGTGAGGGCACAAGAGGACGAGGAGAGAAAGGCTGGAGTCGAGCGACTTACTGGAAACCTGCATTGTAAGAGCTCAGGCAGTGAATCTGCAGAAACAAGAGGAGCAGCCAACTTGGAAACTGAACTAGGTTCATAGGAAAATTCTGCATATAATGGCTTTCACATATATACTTTAATTGTGGAGATATGTTTAACGAAATTTAGCCATTCTAATACTTTGAAGTACACAATTCAGTAACATTAACTGCATTCACTAGTTTGTGCCAGCACCTCCATCTTCCATTTTAATGCTTTTTTTGTTGTTGTCACCTAAAGCATTAACCCTAAGTCCTCAGACCCTGGTAACCACAGATAAACTACATATGCCTATTCTAATATTTCATATGATCAGGCTCTTAAATATATGTAGTTGTATTTTTATGTCCAACTTCTTTCACTAAGTTAATGTGGCCAAGCTTCACCTATGTTTCAGTAGATATCAGAACTGTGTTTTCTTTATGGCTGGCCAGATCACTGCATGGATAAAGCACTGTTCGCTGACTGTATA